CCCCAAAACCCCAAAACCCCAAAACCCCAAAACCCCTTATTTGCCATTAAATAATATGGGAAATACTATTGAAGGCCAAGAGTGTCAATGTAAAAAGACACCCTACTCATGCTGAAAATGTACAAAAATAGAGAGAATCAAACAGCAAAATTGGGAAAGAGACCTCATTTCATACCAACTCAAAGTTTATGAACAGTTTATTACAACCAAGTGTAAGTAACTGAGAGCTTGGAGAGTGTCAAGATGCTCATATTACCCAGAAATTTAAAGACATGATTAATGAAAATGGGAAGTTAATTGTTGAGGATGGACTTAAATCTAATCTATTTATCACTCGCTGTGCTATAAAGGAGCAAAAGATTTTACTTGAACAGTATAAAAAGATAAAATAAGCCAGAAAGAGTCTTAAATATTGAAATCCAGGTATTGTCTACCAATTTTAATTAAATAGGCAGGAAGTGATTTTGGAGAAGACTGATGTGTAAGAAATTCCAAAGGATCAAAAATCAAAGCGAATAAAATTGCTCCAATAATCGAAATAACCCAGGATATCTCCCAGGTTCCTAGATGGAGGATAGAAGAGATTAATAGTCCAGTTATTATTGAAAAAGAAGATTATCAAGAGTGTGAAGATACCCTAAACAGCATTGATACTACTGAAGAAGAGGAATCATCCAAAATTATAACAAAAACAGAAAGTTTCGATAATTCTTTAAGAAAGGAAGTTACTGAAACTCAACTAAAATTGTCAACTCCTCCATCTATCAGACCGAATATTAAAGGAATTTATGACTGGAATTGTCAAGGGAAGTTCTACTTCAAGCAGGACATTCCAGAGAAGAGTCTTACTTTCTCAATCAGCCTTCTCAAATCAAAGATAGTAAACAACTCTTTAATGTTTTTAGAAATATTCAGCACCATTGAATAGAAAATAAAGCAGTCATGATAGGAAAGCCAAAATCATTCTTCTGAATGAACCTCAGAAGCCAAAAAGTTGAAGAGATAGAGCTTGATTTTAGAGAGTCTTTCGATTCTGAAACAGAAGGCAAGGTGTTCCTACGAGTACAATATATCTATGACCAAATAAGTCTAATAAACGATGTTCTTGCAAGTCTCAAAAGAAGTGAAGAGTTAATTTTAACTTTGCTAGATAAACTTCAAAATATCACTATCAGCCAGGATCTTAGGATCTCCACATTCCAAAAGACATCTGTTACTCTAAAAGATACTTTCTATAATGGGGGGAGGTTCTTTTCTGGACAACAAGAGGAGAACAAGAACTCTAGCATTGTTACAGAGCAGACCTCAAGTGATAATACATCTGACTCTAAAGGTATTTCATGTTTTTAATACTAGGCTTTTTCATGGTTGGTCAAATCTTAGAACAAAGAGAGAGAAGCAGAAGCAAAATATATTCCTTTAAAATACCTAAAATCCTTTCAAGTCAAAAGAGAACACAGACATTCATGCGGGATGACTCATTACCAACCTTTTTAGAGACTCAAGAGATTGAAGAATGCTCTAAAAACATCTAATGAATCGCTCCTTGATTTCTCCAAGTTATTAATTTTGCTAAAAATGGGGTTTTGGGGTTTTGGGGTTTTGGGGTTTTGGGG